ATAAATTGTTATGCAAGTACTTTTACTTTTAATACTTAAAGTACATTTAAAATTAGGTACTTTTTACTTTTTTACTTGCGTATGGTTGTCATTGTGTTACTTCTACTTTTACTAAAGTAAATATTTATCTGGTTATTTGTACTTTTACTTAAGTACTGAGATTCAGTACTTCCTCCACCACTGTCCAGGAGTTCCCGGTGCCCTGCGACCGGCGTGCGCTACGGCGATTTTTAGGGATGGTAGGCTACTATCGCAGTTTTTGTAAGAACTTTTCGACTGTGGTTTGTCCTCTCACTAACCTATTGAGCCCCAAAACTAGGTTTGAATGGACGGAGTCCTGTAACCGAGCGTTCGAAAACGTCAAAACTCTCTTACTGACTACTCCCGTGCTCGCTGCGCCAGATTTTAATAGACCGTTTCAGCTTGCTGTGGACGCTAGCAGCGTAGGCGCCGGTGCCGTACTGTTGCAGACAGGTGCAGACCATGTAAACCATCCCGTGAGTTTCTTCTCTAAGAAATTTAATCCTGCCCAGCGAAGGTACTCCACTATCGAACAGGAGACCTTGGCCTTAGTATTAGCTATTCAACACTTCGAAGTGTACTTGAGTTCTACCGTACATCCAGTTAAGGTCTATACTGACCATGATCCACTCAAGTTCCTCAGTCGCATGTTGTTACGTGTGGGTTGTGGGAAATGGAGCGAGGACTCAAATGCAGAGGAGAAGTAATGTTTTAATTAAATAAAACATAAATCAAACAAACAAAACAAAGAAATCCAGGTCTCATGAACTAACTACAAAAATCCAAGAACACGGCAGAAACAGAACAAACACAACTCAAAACTCAGGTAACATTTAACAACGAACGAGCACCAGACAACAAACACAGGGAGACTAAATAGGAAGGCAAACAAGGAGGTAATTGAGGGAAAGCAGGTGGGACAAATAAACCAATAACGAGGTAACAAGATGGGAGGGGCTAGAACATTAACAAGAGCACATGGCACACAGAAATCACATGATAGCCATGTGCTCACAACCATCAAGACCATAACAAACACAAGACCAGGCATGTCACAGCTCTGTCACAAAACCAAGAATAACCAGAACTGTAGTGACAGAACCGTGACACTACCTCCCCTCAAAGGAACGCCACCTGGCGTTCCCAAAGAGAGACACAAAACGAGACAGGAACACCAGACACAACCCAAAACCACAACAGACAAAACAAAAACAGATATCAAATAAAGTAAGGGTGCAAACAGGGAGCAAAACAATATACAGTAAATAAATTCACAAAAGTCCAAAACTAGACCAGGGAGGGACGGGAGGGTTAGGCCAAGGACCCTCAAGCTTTACAGGAGTCCTGGCAAGGATCAAGGTGAACCAGGCTGTGCACGGTGGCCAAGATGAGTAGGCAGACCATCGGCAGCCAGGACAAAACAGTCCATCGGGCGGCCACGGCGGAGACAACCCCTCGGGTGGCCACGGCGGAGACAACCCCTCGGGTGGCCACGGTGGAGATGCTGGCTCAGGAGCAGACACCGGATCAGGATTCAACACCAGCTCAGGAACAGGCACTGGCCTTGAAACAGACCCCGGCTCAGGAACAGGCTTCGGATCAGTGACAGACACCAGAACAAACACAGCCACAAAAACAAACACAGGGACAGAAACAAACTTTGGTCCAGGAACAGGCAACAGGTCAGAAACAGGAACCATCTCAGGCCAAACAGACAGGACGTGAACAGTCTCTAACTGTGCAGACGGAACCTGAACAGTCTCTGGCTGAGCAGCGACGAAATGAACCAACTCCGTCTGAGCAGACGTGACGTGAACTGTTTCTGGAACCGTAGACCTGAGCTGAACAGATTCAGGCTTGATGGATAGCACAGTCAGGGCAAGCAGCTTAGGCGGCGGCGTCAGGGCGAGCAGCTTGGGCGGCGCCGTCAGGGCGAGCAGCTTGGGCGGCGCCGTCAGGGCGAGCAGCTTGGGCGGCGCCGTCAGGGCGAGCAGCTTAGGCGGCGGCGTCAGGGCGAGCAGCTTGGGCGGCGCCGTCAGGGCGAGCAGCTTGGGTGGCGCCGTCAGGGCGAGCAGCTTGGGCGGCGCCGTCACCTCCGGGATGGTCTCGGTGTTAGACACCACCGGACAAGTCGTTGAGGCGGCCTTTCTCCTCCTCCGTCTCCGGACCACCGGACTCGGGACCACCACCGGACTTGGGACCACCACCGGACTCGGGACCACCACCGGACTCGGGACCACCACCACCGGACTCGGGACCACCACCGGACTCGGGACCACCACCGGACTCGGGACCACCACCACCGGATTTGGGACCACTGGACTCGGGACCACCACCACCGGACTTGGGACCACCACCGGACTCGGGACCACCACCGGACTCGGGACCACCACCGGACTCGGGACCACCACCACCGGACTCGGGACCTCCTGGACCATCAAAGAAGTGTTCTCCCATCTCACAGAACCAGGAGGATCTGTAAGACGTTCCAAGAGTCTTAAGAACTCTTTAAACGAAAATTCCCCCAGATCTCTCATAATCTCAAAAGGGATTGGGTCATCAAGGGCATGGTTAAAAAGATCCTTCAGAGCTGCATCACCAAGATTTAATCCCTCTGCCGCTGCAGAAAATTTCTGGGCAAAGTCCCCCACATTTGCCTCCGATTGCTGAAGAGAGATCAACTCCTTAAATCTCACCATCCGTTCATATGAAGGACATGACAATGGGAGAACAGGTGACCCCCTCGACCTCTTCCTCCGCTGAGTCCTCTTCATGGCTCGTTCGTTCTGTTTCTGCCGTGTTCTTGGATTTTTGTAGTTAGTTCATGAGACCTGGATTTCTTTGTTTTGTTTGTTTGATTTATGTTTTATTTAATTAAAACATTACTTCTCCTCTGCATTTGAGTCCTCGCTCCATTTCCCACAACCCACACGTAACAGAACGAACGAGCCCCAGACAACAAACACAGGGAGACTAAATAGGAAGGCAAACAAGGAGGTAATTGAGGGAAAGCAGGTGGGACAAATAAACCAATAACGAGGTAACAAGATGGGAGGGGCTAGAACATTAACAAGAGCACATGGCACACAGAAATCACATGATAGCCATGTGCTCACAACCATCAAGACCATAACAAACACAAGACCAGGCATGTCACAGCTCTGTCACAAAACCAAGAATAACCAGAACTGTAGTGACAGAACCGTGACACATGTACAATTCCAACCGTCGGTTAATGCGCTGGAGTCTGTTGCTTCAACCGTTTAACCTCCAAATTGTGCATATCCGTGGAGTAGACAATATTATCGCAGATGCGTTGTCTAGGGTGAATACTTAAGAGTGATAATAAAAAGAAAAGAAAAATGTAAATATATATATATATATATTCGTATATATAAAACCGTTGTTTTCAGATTTAATTTAATTTATTGAGTTTGCTAATCTAACATAAATGAAACGTATAAAGTTTTTTTTTTTTTTGTCCTCTCTTACACATAATTGTGTATTGCTTATGAGTTGACCATACACACCAAAGTACATTCCTGTGTAATCTTTGTTCTCTTCTTTTATAGGCCTATACAGATACCTGGAAGCTGAACATAGAAGGCTCGAGTAGAAATAAATAGTTCTCATGTTTAGAGTATGGCGACAAGTCACCATTTCGGGGTGGGGGTGTTACGTTCCCCAGCCCGCTGTGTATTTTTACACGTGTTTGAGAGTCTGAGTTTTTCCGTGCTCTTAATTGCAGATGATCTACACCTGTGCTGCAGCCGCATCCTCGCGCTACAAAAGCTTTCTGGAACCACACCTGTGGGCGCACACAGAGCCTGAGAGAGCAGTTGACTGCCGTGCTGTTTGGAGTTTGCTGTCCACCCGGGAATCCGAAGCGTTCCGTCTTAGAAACTAACCTGCCTGTGTTTGTAGAGCTATCCGGCATCTGTTGACCAGCCTACTAAATAAAACACCCCTATTTTTGACACGAGCTAACCTGTGTGCGTCTCCCCTCTATGTTAAGGGTGGTGTCCATCCGCCCGTAACAACACATATATATATGGCAGTGTAGGTAAGGTCTTTTCACCATTTATTTTAGGAAGTTGTGCCAGACTGTGCTCTCTTTTCTGTCATGTGTGACAACAGTGAGACAGACACAGCCTCTGAGTCAGGTAGTCAGGATTTCACCAGCAGTCAGGGAGACCAGGATGCTCAGGGAGAAGAACTCAGCATCTTCAGCAGCTTAGCTCAGCCCCACAGTGAGCATGGTTGTATTCTGAGCTGTCCAAAGTGCACAACATTTTATGATGCCTTCATTAAACTGAACCCAGATCAAGTGGTGGAACTAGAGAGAAACACTAGAAAAAGAGAGCATAGAACCACTCTGGCATGATGCGCGCAAGCTACGCATAACTGCAAGCACAGCCAGCAAGGTGCCTCAGCATGAGACAACTGACCCGGCTAAGTTTCTCACTGAACACCTCTACCGAAAAGTTTCAAGGGAATTTGGCCACAAGGTATGGGAAGGAAAGCGAGGGACTTGTTAAGGAGCAGATTAGGGAGAGGGGCTGCAAAGTGATGGACAAAGGGTTGGTGGTGTGTAGGGATGGGAATCGAAAACCGGTTCTTCTTCAGAACCGGTGCCCAATTCCTTGGAACCGTTAGTATGCCTGCTTAATGATTCCGCTTATCGGTTCCGCTCGTTGTAAACGCGTCATGACGTCACACAAACGCTGCGTTGTTTTGATTCAGCACGCGGAAAAATGGCATCAAGGCAGAAGCGCTCTATGCGAAGGGACGACAATACTGTCACTTGCAACACCTGTAAGTTTCAATTTCTTCAAAGGGGGGAAATACCTCAAACATGCAGAAACATTTGGCCACACAGCATGGAATTCATTTGCAGGACTGTCGCGTTTTTGATACACTACTTAGCGACACAACAAGTGAGTCAAGCAGATGCAGCAGCGGAGCAATTGGGACGCCATCTGTTATTAATGCCGAAGGTAACTCTCCAGGCAGGACAGGCCCTGTCTACTTAGTTAATGGAAGCGCCATTTCATTGTGTACTTTTACTATCCGGATTATTTCCATTGTCAGATGATGTTGATGACGGCCAGAGTCTGGCTGGCTCAGAGGCTGCAGCAAGTATCTCTCGTGCACGTCTAGCAACTCCGTTTACTGAGGCAGGGAAGAATAAAATGACAGAGGCGAGGATTAACGAATGTCACCGAGCAGTGGTAAAGTTTGTGGTAAAGGGTTTGCACCCGTTTGCCACAGTGGATGCCTCTGCATTTCGGTAGGTTAATTTGCTGTATTTTGTCCAGCATGTCTTTTCACATGAAAGTAACAAATGCATGACCAAAATTTGCATGTTTTTATTTATTTCAGTAAAGTTCTGTTTTATTAATTCCTAGTCCTACCATATCTTTTCTGTAGCGAGATGATAAAGACTCTCAACCCAAAATACAATGCCCCAAACAGAGACAGTTTAACAAATCATCTGATTCCTGCTTGGTGTGGGGTTGAAAAGAGCAATCTGATCACAGAACTGAAACATGTCAAACATGCAGCCATCACAGCAGATGGTTGGACTAGTTTCAGTCAAGACCACTACCTCACTGTAACATTGCACTATGTCAGGGAAGGTCAGAGTAAAGATAAAGTCCTCCAAACCAGAGCAGTGTACAAAGCTCAAACAGGGATAGCTGTGGCCGAGGAGATTGAGGGGATCCTGGAGGAGTTTGGAGTGAAAGAGAAGGTGGTGGCAGCAACTATGGATAACGCAGCAAATATAAATGTAGCTGTGAAAACGCTAAATATCTTCAAGTTTCCATGTTTTGCGCACACACTTAACCTTGGAGCTCAAAAGCTGTACAACTGCAATACAGTTTCCAACTGGGCAGCAAGGATTCGTTCTGTGATCGTATGGATGAAGAGAAAAGCAACCACTCCTCAGTAAGTAGTAATATGCCTACTGTTTAAATACTGTACTTTAATTGCAAGCTAACAACTTACAAATTGTTAAAAATTAAGTATGAGATGGAACTCTCTGTTTTGAGATTTTGTGAACAGTTTGCTGCTATTCAAGCTGCAGCTATAGACCAATGGCTTAGAAATCCCATGGAGAAGGATAAGTAATGTTTGAAAAAAAAAATTACTTATATAAAAATTGGTTGACTATAGCCATTAAAAGGGTTTTGTTTGGCAAATATATATTTGTTTATTTTGTTTATGTTGCAGACTGGCCAGAATGGGCAATGAGGACCTGAGGAAAGCAGAGGAGTTTGTGCTGCTGATGAGGATGCATTACACATCCACACTTGCTGTCTCCAGCGAAAAAAGTCCAACCTGTGGCCAGATATTGCCCATACTTCAGAAACTGCGCAAACATTACACAGTGCAGGCAGATGACTCTGCATTCGTCAGGAGTGTCAAGGAGAACATCTGGAATGATCTTTCCAAACGTTACCAGGTACAGTCACTGACATGTAATGATTAATTAATTACTATATGATAATTAATCATATACACTAATGGTTATTTATTGTCATTCACATTTTCTTGTAAATTTGTGTGGTTTGTCCTCTATTTTTAACTTAATAATGATGATATCCAGGCATTCCTGGAGGAAGCCACTGTGTTAGATCCCAGATTTAAATCTAAAATGGACAGGGATGAAATCTGGGAGAGGGTCAGGGCATCAGCAGTGGCACTGGCATCAAACACAGAGGCAGTTGAGAAGGTATTTGAATTTGACAATGCCTTTAGCATATACATTTTCTTCTTGCTCTGTTGTTCTTACACTGTACATTTCTTCTCAAGCTGTCAGAGCCAAGAGAGACAAAGAAGAAGAGAATGGAGAAAAAGAGGAGGACTACGTAAGTTTATTGTAGCTAATTGTGATGAATGTTGATAGATTGCAGGGATTATTACACTATTTCATTTAAAACTAAAGCTTGTGGTTATGTGATTATATCAGACGCCACCTGTAAAGCAGAAAAAGGACAGCCCTAGAGGAACTTTTCGAAGAAGAGGACAGCAAGCTGCTTTCCACGCAGCAGCAGCCCCCTGTCTCCACAGCCCAGAGAGTGGATCAAGAAATCCAGCTTTATAGAAGCCTTCCTCCCATTCCAACCAAAGACAGTGCCAGTTTCTGGTGGTGGAAGAAGAGTGACACATTGCCAATGTTGTCAACTCTAGCTGAGAAGTATCTCTGTGTCCAAGCGTCCTCCACCCCTTCTGAAAGGGTGTTCTCCACTGCTGGAGACACCCTTAGTCCAGAAAGATCTCGTATCCTTCCTGAGAGGGCAAACATGATCATTTTTCTGCACAAAAATTGTTAATTTGCCAATTTTTAATTTGTTAATTGTTAATTTATTTTAGTAAAGTTGATAGTTGTGGTCTTTACAGAAGACTTTGTATTTTGGATGTCAGTTGAATTTTGTTTCAGATTGAATCCAAATGAGCACTGTTAATATTCCAAAAGGCACAAGCTCATCCTTGACTGTTTTCAGTCTGTGTTTTTAGTTTTTATGGCACATAAATGGCCAGTTTTATTTATTTTTTTGTCTGGACCAATGAATGTGAAAATGAGCAATTTCCTAATCCTAAGGCAATCTTCTTGAAAATATTTCAAAGCACACACTAGAATGCCATGACACACTGGTTGAGAAACACTGTAGGCTGTGGTTCCCTGAATTTTACTTTGAGAAGTAGCTCACCTACTTTAAGGTTTGTTCTGAGGTTGCTACACATAATTTGTGTATACTACTCTGTGCTTCTGATCAGATATTAAAGCGAGTTCAAACAAACAAATTTGTGCTTATTCCTTCACCCAAAGAGAATCGATAAGAGAATCAATAAGGAATCGGATCGATAAGCAATATCGATAATGGAATCGGAATCGTTAAATTCTTATCAATTCCCATCCCTAGTGGTGTGTGCAGAAGACCCATGGCTGGCAGCAAGCCCTGATGGTATCATTGATGACAAGCTGCTAGAAGTAAAATGCCCTATTACACTCAGTGCTTGCACATCCCTTAATGATGCACTCACTGCCACAAACCAAGACATCAGAGTGGAGGGCGGACAGTATATTGTTAACCCAAAAGGCCCCAGAGGTTACTACAGGCAGAGACAGTTAGGGATGCACCGTCTTGGGCTGAAAACATCCTGCCTTGTTATTTGGACCCCAGTACAGCACCTGGAACTTGATGTGCCTTATGACAGTGGTTTTGTCTCCACATATATCCAAAGGCTACGTAGCTTTTACTTTAACCACATGCTGCCAAAAGTTGTAGATGCATTTGTCGAGGGAAGACTGCAGTTGAGTGACAGCTACATGAAAATTGTCTCAAAAGCAGCTTAATAGCTAAGTAGTAAAAATGGTTGTTTTTTCTTAAGGAATGGGTTGTTCCTGGCTTTTTGAGCACAAAGCTTTTTCACTTTTTACATCAAATACATAATTAAAAACGGAAATCGTAGTCTACAGTACTTTATTCATCAGTCAATAAATCAGTTAATCAATAGTTGTTGGTGTTCATTACTGAATAAATCATTTCATTTTATAATTACAATCAATGTGAAACATTGTGATACAAGTGCAACACTACAAACATCATAATGCATGTGTTTGGTATTTTAATATATTTAATAAAAAAAAAAAGTAATCCTGTAGGTAAAAGTATCAAATTAAGATAATAGATGTTCCGAAGATGAACAAAGGTCTTGCATGTTTGGAACGACATGGGTTTTTTTTTTTTTTTTTTTTTTTGGTGAACTATCATTGTAAGTTGTGGTTGAGTCCTGCCTTATTTTGGTACAAGTGGTTTCCCCAGATTTGAAAGTGCTGCACAAACAATTACAATTTTATATATTGTGCAAAGACTGTTATCATTTCTCCGTTTGACCATACTGACTGGCAGGGTATTCCGCAGAATTCTGAATGACTTCAGTTTTCCTATGGCTCTTTCCACGTGGATTCTCACTCGGGACATTTTTCTAGAGTGTGTCACCTCTAATCCTGTCAATTGTTTTCTTCCCTTTGTAGATGCTGGTACATGAAGACGAACACATTTGGTGGCAAAATATTCAGGAAAATTGAAGCCTCGATCAGCCATTACATGGTCTCCTTGTTCAAGAAGTTCAATTAACCCTGAATTTTTTGTTATAACCTTGTCACTAGCACGACCACCCCAGACTTTTGATAAAAATGTAATAGCTCCTGTTGGACTAATACCAACAAGGAACTTTGCAGTATTATGTGATTTATAGTGGGAGTATGTGACTGCCCGTGTTTGCAAACTAGTTGGCCTCTCAATGAACACTTCAGTACAGTCTATTATACATCCAACTTGTTGGAAAGCTGTAGTCTTGAAGAGGGTGGGGAGATTTCTTCTGATATCTTTCCTGGATGGCCACCGGACAAGGCATTGCAACTCTTTAGCCATTACATCGAGCCATTCATGAAAGATGTTTGAGACAGTTCCACAACTCACTCTGAAGAGAAAAGCGAGGTCTTGATGAGTTAAGCCTAGAAGAAGCTTCATCAGGACCACAAGAAACTGCTCGGGAAGGGTAAGTAAGGTTGATGATGCGTTCCATATTTTTGTCAAGTAAGTGAGGAGGGTGAAAAACACAGAAGCAGATGGTAGACCAGTGTTTTTCTTGAGATTCCAGTTTCATCTCCAGTGAAGCCATTTTTCTTTTTAATTCAATGTTTTCATTTTGTAGCTGGTCAATGTCTGCCATTGACAGATCTGTACCCACAGCAGTGCATCCTTCTTCAGGGTCAGCATGGGTGACCTCTAAGGAAGAATTTATAGACTCAACCACTGATGGTCTCCTCTGGTATCGCTCCAACTTCTGTGAACCATCAATGGTCTTTTTATGAGCGAAAATTGATGGAACATAATCTGGATGGCATGGGTCCACTGAGGGCGCACCTAAAATAAAGACAGAAACAGTTTGTGTTGACAGTATTGCACCTTGCTGAGAATAATACATACATGCTTTGCATAATAAATAACTGTCCTGGTTTCATGTGCATTTCTATGACATTGATTAAAACTTATTTATAAAAAAAAACAAAAAAAAAAAACAACATTAGTAGCCTAAGTACTAATACAATGAAATTGTCACGGGTCAGGAAAAAGAAGGCAGACGAAGATCGAAGTAGAAAAATACTTTCTTTAATGTAGCGAAACTCAGGAACAGGAAGACAGATGCGACAGCGTGTTAAACACAAACAATACCGGACAAGGGAGTGAAGACAGGCAACATATGGAAAAAATGAACCATGAACTAGTTTATTTTTGAAATATGAACTGAACTAGTTCATTTTAAAATTTGTGAACTGAACTTTGAACTAGTTCATGTAATGAACTTGGTCCAACAGGTTGATAAGAAGGTTTGCTTTGATATGTGCAAAGTCAGTAATTTGCCTGAGATTGCCTGTATTTCAAAAGCAGTAATTGTTTTTCTAAGTATAATAAAAGGAAATGTGCCTTTCGAAAAACAAAAAACAAAACATTCAATAATATTGAATGTTTTTTTCGTTTTTTTTTTTCGAAAGGCACATTTCCGAAAGGCACATTTGAATCAATATAATAGTGTTGTATAAAGAAAATAAAAAGCAAATCGCATATCGCATATCGTTACAGCCCCAATGTTAAGTTCTACTTCTGTATTATTTTGGTGAAAGTAACTCAAAAGTAATACATGAGTAATGTAACGCATTACAATTCTGAGACAGTAATATTGTAAGGTAATGAATTACTTTTAAATAAGAGTAACAAGTAATACCTAATGTATTACAGTTGGGAAGTAACTTGCACAACACTGGTGAGCTCCAGTGGCACCCCGCATAACGCTCGCTCCATCATAAGTTTGAGCTATTAATTTTGTCTTGTCTTTGAGTGGGATCAATTCACTCATCCTTTCCAAAAGTGATTGAGCGATGTTTTCAGCATTCACGTTTTCAATCTGAATGAACTCTAAAAAGCTCTCTTGAATGACATTGTAGCGGTCGATGTAGCAAAGTACAAGGGCAAGTTGGCATTGGACAGACATGTCAGATGTTTCATCGGCTTAAATGTCAAGTCAAGTCACATTTATTTATATAGCGCTTTTCACAATACAGATTGTATCAAAGCAGCTTCACAGATAACATGAAAGTAGCACAACACAGATCAACAACATTGCTAAACACTAAATAACCCCAACTGAGCAAGCTCAAAGCAAGCCAAAAGCAAGGCGACAGTGGCAAGGAACCAAACTCCATCAGATTGGATGGAGAAAAAACCTTGGGAGAACCCAGGCTCAGTCGGGGGCCAGTTCTCCTCTGGCTTACATTCATATTGTTTAAATATAAATATTGTTTATGAATCAAACGGCGCCATAACATATCACAGGCGTTGAGTCGTCTCTTCACAGGCGTTGATGGCAACATAATCAGCTGCAGTCACCTAGTCGTGAATGTACTCCTTAACAACAGTCAGCATACAGTCCAGCAGCTCATTCTGAATCATTTTAGACGTACCTCTGAACACAGTAGCTCCCTCCAAGTTCTCCTTCAGAGCAGCGTCCAACGATGAGGCGAAATTTACAAGGCCCCTATAAATGCCAGGGTTCTCAGAGGCTTCAGTCACGTCGTGGCCACCCAGAGCTAATTCAAAGGCACCACAAAATTTTACACAGTCAATCAGTTTAGAAAGAATATATCGATTCTTGTCCACTTCCTCATTGTGCCTGCTTATACAAAGTCGATGGCCATCATCCAACTGAGTAGCAATGTTCGCCTTCCCCAGCAACGCAAATTTCAGGCAGTTGTCCATGTGCATCTTTGTGTGTTCGTGTTTTTTTATTTTTTCCAAAAAATGTTTCATATCATGAACCCCGTTTTCACACCAGGCTCGATTGTTCGCTACAGTTTTAAAAAGCAAACAAGGGAAGCAAAACAGTTAGCTATTCCACAGCCGGTTAGCCACGGCTTCCTATTGTACCACGTCCGAGAAAAGCCTATACTATACGACGCTTCTTTGTCTTTCACCTGTTGTCTGATTTTAATGTGTGGCTGGTCCGGTCCCATTTCTTTTATTTTTAGTTGTTCAGCCAGTGGTTTTCTTTCAAACGGATTTTGAAGAAGAGATATCACAGTTTCTTTCTCGCGAACAGCCAGCGCCGCCATTGTCAACTTGTCAAGAAAGACGTGCTTCGCCCGCCGAATCTAATTACGTGACCACACCCAAGTACCTCAAAACTCCATGTTATTTTAGAATTGTTATTGCGCGTCACTGATTGGTTGAATTGATCACATTTAGTGATGTTTTAATAGCATATCAGAGCTCCATTGGTTAGATAGTGAGGGCCCTATTCCTCAGCATAAAACGACAGATTAATGTTATTGATATGTGGGACACAATGAAGCTGGCAGACAAAAAGACCCCCCTCCCCCTCCTTCTAGTGTGTAAACCACATATACCAGAACAGAAGAACTTTATTTTTAAAATTCTTAAAACTTTATTTAAAATAAATAAATAAATAAATTGGTAGGAGGGGTGGCGCCCCAGCGCCCATAATAGACCAGCCGCCTCTGCTTTCCATTAAACTCAAGGTTACATAGATAAACTTACCTGATATGAAGTGAGCACTGCAGACGCAAGCATTTTTTATTATGTCCTAGCTCCAGTCAACACGTTTAATCGCTTGCAGCCACAGGCGCCGCCGGTTCTTCTTAAATGGTCGTGATCCTGTCGGAATCGAATAAAACTTAAGTCCTTTGGTGGAATATCGATTG